TGTGGGCAGGTCACAAAGAAAACAAATGCTGTGTTGCCAGTTGTATTTCCGGCATTTTGGTGTGAACAGGGCATACAGAAAACAAACGCCATCTTGCTGTTGATGTGGCACACAGAAAACAATGTGCCCTAGCATTGAGCCTGGGGTAATCTATACAGATCAATGCAGCTTAACTTAAGCGGTGTAAATGAACCATAAAACAAACAAGTGAAAAAAGGACCTTAATAACATCAATTTATAAAGGGAGAAGTACACAAACCATATAGACTAGACAAAGAGCTAAAAATCATTTAAAAACAATCAAAAGATTAAAGTGATGTTATAATGAAAAGGTTTTTAAAGGAGAACTATGGGGTAAGTGTTTTCCCCCATAGTTCTCCTAAGGGTCACGGGAGGACACAAACTAGCGTCCTCCCGTGATCCAACGCTCAGTATACCGCGAGCTACATTACATTACTGTCGAGATCCATCCAGCTGCGGGATTGACAGCGGGGTCAGCCCATCTAGAGGCAGAGCCAGCCGTACCCGACCCCTCCCCGTCCATTCCTCCAGTCAGCGCTAGAGGATCGGAGCGGGGAATCCCTGCAGGGAGCCGTGAGTGACAGTCACGGCTCTCTGCAGGGAGATGATCGAGAAGTGAGCGAGCGACAGTATGTGTTCGCTCACTTCCCGATCTATTGAGCCGACATGTGACAGTTTCATTGTCACACGTCGGCTCAAACTATGAGGTTGAGTGAAAATAACGCAGAGAAAGTAGGAGCCAGCTGTTTGGAAACATGACTATAATCGCTTGGGCAAAGCAATACTTTGCTGGACAATGTATATTTGTTTGATCTGGATTCATCGTTGAAAAAGGTTTGAGAGCTTAATACTACTTTGAGGAGAAATCATTTTAGATCAGTATTAGTATTATATATAGTCTTAGTGAATTCTTTATCCAGAGATAATACACAAGCCACAAACTACCGCTTGAGTATGTGTTGAAGCCATTTTCAGACCTGTTGGAATTTCAGATGAGACAACAAGACTATGAAAATATGTTCAAGGATTTCTCCACTTGTATAAAAAAAAAAAAGGATGAATAAGGGAATGAAGCAAGGTAAAGGAGGACGTCCATAAATGCAAAGTATGAGCAAAGCAGGATTTCAGAATGTCAGTGTAATCCTCCATGCCTTCACCTGGGGCTGGCTTAAAGTAATTACTTTTTTTTTTTTTGGCAACGTAATCAACTGATCAGTGTCAACAGATTTTGGGTCTAAATTACCAGAAAAGTTAACTAAAACACGCTGTATTTTAGTGATGATGAAACAGTTTAGTTCGCTTTTAAAAGTTTGCTATGTAATTTTTGTATTGCACTTTATATTAAAGTGATCCGAGCTGCTGCTATTGTTGGATATGATGAGGGGTCACATGCGGGGTCTTCAGCAACCTTGAGTGATAGAGAATTATTGTTTACTTAAAGCCAAACTCCAGGGAGATAAAACGTTTTCCCTTTGCAGTTGGACTTCCCCCATACTGCATGGCTACTCCCTCCCACCAGCTCACTTCGGGCTGCTAGACCGGTCAGACTTTTCTGCCCTTCGCTTTGCCAGTCTATGAACCGCTGACGTCATCAAGTACAATGCAGGCTCCATAGCCCTGCATTGTACGCAAGGCAGTAGAGGGAGCACACAGGGAGACAAGCAGATTGCAAACTTCTGGGCGAGTAAGGATTTTTAGTCTTTGATCTTTTATTTTTGCTCCCTAAAGGTATACACTTTGAAGTAGCAGTATGTACTGTGTTTTTAAAACAATCCCACATCAAGTAAAACAGCTTTCTCCTATCCCCTCCTAAACATAACCGAACAGGTAATGATTGCAGTTCGAGGGCAGCCCCACAGCATGGGAAAACTTTTAATATCCCTGTAGTTGGGTTTTAACAAACACATACTGTCGTGGCTAAATTTGGCTTCAGCATCTAGATATCAATGACCTCTGGTCATGAAAGATTTTGTGGATAAACCCAAGTCCTCTTGTGATATATAAACCTTAGAAAAAGAAAATATTTATAAAGAAATCAGTAACCGCTTTCTCTGTGATGCATAAAGTAAAGCTGGAATCACCACACTTGTTATAGTTAAATAGTGATCCAGGAGATGCAGTCAAAGCTGATTTTACTAAAGCTTGTTAAGTTTTAATATCGGTCTGACAAAATAAAAAGTAAATATAAAGAAATAAAATCAAAAGCCTCATTATATAAAGATTCCATCTTGATTTAAAAAGCTAAAACCTAGACTTGGAGGTGTTCGAGTTGAAAACATAACAGTCATATGACCCCGGGAGGAAATCTGCTCCATAAAACACAAATAGACATGACGCATAGTAGCTATGCTGAGAGGTAGCCTCTATGTGTGGAGAGTTGCTAATGTTCACACACTGACCAGAAGGAGAAATATTGCTCCCATTGCATTGCTGTATCATAACCAGGACACATAGGACCGATTACCCAGATCAGGACTCGTATATATTGGTTTGCCCTATATATCCGGTCTGTAGAGCAAGAATGTAAAACGTTAGCCACTTTGACTGGGCTAAGGAAAATACAGATGAGAAAGAAAAAAAAGATGTGCATTGACTTCAACTTGAAACAAGGTCACAAACATCAATAACGCAGATGAGATAATCATTACCAAATTACATTATTATTGTGAATAAAAAGCCTCACCAGTCTGCTGCTACTCTTCACTGTCTGGTAAGCAGACAGGTGAAGAGAGGACGCAACTGTAGCTCCTATATAGTCTATACCTGGAGTGGAGTCATCCACCTAGTTGTACTGTTTGTCAGAAATTATTATTAGGACAGGATTATATAGCGCCAACAGTTTGTGCAGTGCTTTACAATGTAAGGTAGACATTACAATCACAATACAATTCAAGACAAGATAGTAAGGAGGGCCCTGCCCATGAGATATGTAAATCTCAGGACTTACTGTACAGACAGAAAGAGGGTGGAAAAAAAAAAAAAAAAAGCTCCCTTATATATTATGTTTATTCAGCAATTTCCTGGAGTTTGTCTTAAAAGGTCAAAGCTACCTAATCAATATAGAGAAACTGCACGTTCCTATATCAGGATAAAGTCCAGACCATTCTCTACAGAACCTTTATAGGTCTGGGGCCCTTTCTGACATTCTTTACCAATCTCAATTCTGCAATGTAGGACTCTTTAATAACAGCCAAGGTCACAGATGATTACCACATCATTCAGATGTGCTTTCGTCCTCTAACCCCGCTGGTTGCTATAGATTTTAATTACATTTTAATGAATAAGTTACCATATACCATAAGTTTACTAATTGCAATCAAACTTCAATAGATTTTGCAACTCTCTTACATGGGTTTTGAATGCACCATGATTTATTTTTACCTAAATATAATAGATCATCAACATTTTGTTAACTTTATTTTATTTACCTTTGCTCAAGGAGACAGCTTCAATATTCCCAGGTAACGGGGGGGAGGGGAGGACAACAAAAAACAAGTGCCCTCTAGAGCCCCTTTGCCCTAATAATCAAGGTTCCAAATAGAATAGCCAGTATTAAATACAGATTTCTACCTGTCCATTAGTCATGGCCTACCTCCAGCCAGCAATATATACGACCTCCATACGACTGGTGACCTGCTCTCTACAGCATATGCATGGCCTTTTCCAGAAAGTTGAATAGAAAATCTATCTTCTTGCATAAAGTCTCTTCAACTCTACGGAGGAAGGCAGACCATGTGCAAACTTAATACCTGTACTATAGAAGCTGTAAACTGTGTTCGATGTAGGGTGAACAGTGGCAGCCTCTGCAGCTAGAAGTCTACAACGTTTACATTGAAAAGTACGTGAAAAAAAATAAACTGGAAAAAAGAAACCTGAAGAATGAAAAGGAAATTTGATGTTGTCCAAAATCACATGAGACTGTTCCTTTAATATTCTAACATGTGCTAGACCAGCCTTTCTCAACCAAGGTGCTGTGGAACCCTGGGGTGTGTATTGGCTTCCTCCAGGGTGCCTCAAATGGGTCATGTCCTTCTGTGGAAAAGATGGGCTGGCTGCCACAGAAAGAATGGCAACAATTCAAAGAGGGTTGGATCTTTGCAGAAAAGGATGGACGTTCTCTTCTGTCCAGGCCTGTTCCTTCTCCCACACTCTTGTTCAACTTATTTATTAAAGGAGAACTATGACATGAGTGATTTCCACTCACCTCATAGTTCTAGCCGACCTGTGACAATGAGACTGTCACAGGTCGGCTCAGTAGATCGGGAGGTGAGGGAACACATACCGGGTTCCCTCACCTCTCGATCCTGTCAGGGGAGGGGCTGGATTGGTGGGGGGGGGGACTGAGGACTCCAATGTAAAGGGGGTCTTCTGATGTGAAGTGTCTTTGTGTTGGGGTCCCCCCCTTAAAATCCATACCAGACCTCTATCTTGTTAAAGGGTTTGGTATGGATATTGGAGGGGGGTCATACGCCATTTGTTTACCTTTTAGACTGGTGTGCCTCGAGATTTTGCATACTTTGAGAAACACTGTGCTAGACAAATAGCAGCTGGAATATCAACAGACATGATGAGATTTTTCTTTCTCTGGTAGGGTATTCAAACCCAAAAAGCAGGCTCAGGTAAATAGTAATTTAAAGAAATCTTATAACTGCAAGTTTTATCTAAAACTATTATGTACTGGATTAAAAAAAACGAATGCACCAGTATGCACCGGAGGCTAAAAGAATCCAGTGCTGGATCCACTAATCACTACAAGCAAATGAACAAAAAGCAGCATTAAAAATAAGTCAAAGTAGCAATACCCGTCAGTGAGAGCTAGAAGTCAAAGCAATGATTATATCAACCAATGAGAACATGTCTTACTCATAGCTTCCATTTCCAACACAGGCTGCATGCAAGAATCTAGAAAACTAACAGACCTATAACATGCACTTCCTGTCAGTGTGTCATAGAACAAATAAGTATGTTTAGTCACTTACGTGTTGAGCCGAGGGTGTCTTTGATCTCAGAATGATGCTGCTTGAGAATTGGTGACAAAGGGAATCAGAGCAATAATCCAGCGCCAAGAGCAAGAATGATGCGTTGATAAATACAGCAGCGTCAGGAAAAAAAGCAAGGGAGAGAGGAAATACATGGTGTTAACTTGTGCTCAGACATACTAAAGCATGCTACAGTGCTAGGTTAAACAAAACATGTACATGAAACGGTGCAGATTGCATGCATTTATAGGTTAATGCCTCAGGCACCCCAAGTAAAAATGCAAAGATCAATGTGCTACGCAAATCTAAAAGGTCTTTATTGCCAGAAAGGTTGAAATAATATTTTTACTAATGGAAGAAACCTCGACTGCAAGCCACATATTTTCATTCTGACGGGTCAAGGCACATGCAGGCTCTTGCTTATTACAAAGCAATTCGAGGGCTGCTCATTCTAATGACATTTCCAAAGGTATATTAAAGCCTGAAGCAGATTACTGCTTTAAAAAAATAAGTATTACAGATGGCGAATATCTATTTGACTTAACTTTTTCTATAGCAAGCAGGCAGTAAGAATCACTATTTACATATATAAATACAGTACAGAATGCCAGGTTTCTACATCTGGCCAATTTTAAGTCTATTTACACATGTATTTTACTTGCAAAATACCAATACGTGCATAAACAAAATGTCCACCAAGGCTGCTAAAGTACAGTACAGTATACAAGACGTTTGCTAAAGTCAGTCTGCAATTTCTGAATGCTGTGCTAATGCCTATAAGAGGTTTTTCATTTTCAAAGTACAAAGGCCCTTGGCTCTTATTTGGCGTAAACAGCTATTTGACAGTGATCATCGGAGAAAGCAGAACTGTGTAAACATCGCTTTATGAATGCAGCACACCCAAAGCACATAACAATAAAGGAAACATCAATTCTGTACCCAAAGTGCATTTGATTAAAATGAAAAGGCATGGTACCTTTTTGGCAGTCACATGACACTTCTGCAGTTTGACAGCGAGTCTCCTGGGAGCCGGCTGTCAATCTGAGCTGGGAACTGGCTGTCAATCAACAAAGAAGAGCTGGGCAAGGGGTGTGACAACACAACAGACTATTGAGATAAAGGCACGTGGTGGGTTGGCACAGCCTGCTGCAACTCCAAAGAGGGAAGCTCTGAAAACACAAGAAAGGATCTGCATCTGTGCTTGGCGTGGTCAGTTTGCAAATAGCAAAAAACAAACAAAAGGACCTGGCAGGATCACCAGGTATCTCGATACAAACAAGCACATAAAACTTGAACAGAGTATTAAAAAAATAAAACCAACGCACCTACATTGATTTACACACATTTATGGAACAATGTTAGGGCTAACATGCACATTAAAGAGTATATAAACCCTAAAGCTGGGCATACACTGCTAGATTTTAACATTCAATCCTGGAAATGAATGGAGTATCCCAAGCACAAAAAACATTCAATGTTAGAATTTTGATGGCAAATGTTCCACCCTTCTCCTTTGATTTATTTTGTCAATATGGTTGAAAATATCCAAATTATTTGACCCCATGAACTATTAGAAAATTACGGTCAGCTGAACACTGCACTTCTCCTCTTTGCTCACCTTTTGGTCTGTAAAAAACAGCATTGGAAGTTTTTAATGCAAAGGTTTGAAATGCAAATACCACCTGTTGATCCTGCCAGAATCCGGTGAGTGGTGTTCTCTGCCGACTGTCATCTGTTAGGCTCCCTTCACACATGAGCAGTTTTCCACGCGTATTCAGCCGCGCGGATCCTCCGAAACCTAAAAAAACAATGCGTTGCAATGTGCACTGTTCAGACTTTTGCGGCAGCCGCGCGGTATGAAACTGCACATCCCACAAAATAGTGCAAGCACGATTAGATCTTATGGACGGATTCCGCACGTTCCGTCTATATCAACAGCCGCAAAACTGCAGTTTGTGCGGTTTCCCGTGTGAAAAACCACAGGGAAAACGCTACCGCTTTGTGTGACTGGAACCTTTTTATTCACAGTTCTCTTTGAGGACTAGAAACCGCCTTCCTTCTCTAGCCCTAATCAGAGTTCCTTTAACAACACTGCTCTTCCACATATACAGTGTGGTTGAGTGTTGTCACCCTATTACAAGAAGTGATACACTTGCAGAATCCCCAGCTAAAAATAAAAGGAAAAAAGCCTGGAAAAAAAAAAAGAAAACTAATCCAGCCGCCATATCCAAGGACTGATAAACTGAAATATGATCAAAGTTTGTTTTTAGGATTAAAACACACTTCAAGAATCAATTTCCCTTTACCTTAGGGCTTATAGGCAGTAAATGGCAAGCGGAGTCTTCAAACTATCAGTGCCTGTGTTCCCCATAGGGGATGTATTATACACACACTAACAGGTCACTGAGCTGAAGCCAGACCTTAGGGAACATCAAGCTGAATCTGCGAAGTATCTCAATGCCCATGGCCCTGAGAACTCAGCCAAACAGAGATTTGAGATAGATACATTGTCACCAGACCATTCATTTCAAAAACAATCCTCCCATAAGATTACATGAGCATTTAATATATTTTATGGATGTTACTTACCTGTAAAAACCTCTTCTATGTAGGCATCCAAAAGCCTTGAGACTGCTGCTGGGCTCTACCATCTTGGGGGTCTTAGCAGCCCCAGCAGACACTTTCTAGTATTATCCTTCACCCCTCCCACAGCAGCTGCATATAAGGTTAGGTAGAGCGATAAGGGGAGGGGCAGTGGAGCTGGGCCAGCAAGCCACTCCCAGAGGAGGAGAGGGCTATGACATGCATTTTGTTTCTAGCCAATTGAAAGGCACAAAGCATATTAATTTAAAAAAAAAAAAATTGTGTATGGAAAAACACTGCAAGTGAGCATGTAAAACACTTTACTGTACTGTTACCTGCAATTGTTAAGCTGGTGACAAAGTCTCTTTAAATTGTGGTTACATTCTTTGTCAGGACATGTAAAAATAACAAACAATAGGAAAAAACAACAGCCTACTGACTTGACTGTACTGTGCAAAGCACACACAGCATCACTATCTTGTAGACAGAAAACAACATAAAAGGGAAATGCTTTGGAGATCAAACAGTGATGTGCATATTCATACAGAAAGAAACATTCTTATTATACAGCCACATAGGAAGTCCTTAAAGCAGAAGTGAAGTAAAACTTAAAAAAAAAAAAAAATGATGGATGAAGTATGGGATTTTTGTCATCTGTGTCCCATTGGAGAGAATTCTCTTCACCGCGAAGCACAATAACAGATGTATAACACGCTGCAATGCATGTGCGATCATGCATGCTTTAACACCATATATTCTATACATGTGTGTGTGTGCGTATATATATATATCTATCTTCCCCCCCCCCTGGATTTCCACTCGCCCCCACGCAATTTTCACTCGCCAATTGCGAGGGGGCGAGTGGAAATTTTGAGCCCTGTATATATAATGTAATTTATTTTTGCTGCAAATGTAGAGCTTCAAGGTTTTTACCAACTTTTAAAGCTTACTGGCCACTTTTGTTCATCAACAACCATCTTTACAGCAGGTTTCCCTTGCAGGATTTTTTTCTTTCTGCATCAATATAACAGAATATATTCAGCCTCCTGGGTATTTTTGGTCCAGTCATACCTTCAGTCTGTCTCTGCACAGACTCAAACTTAGTTCTCAAGCATCAGCCTGGTCAGTACAAACACTCCTAACACTACAGTCATTCGGCATCACGTAACTGCAGGGCACCTCGGGGAGCAGTGTGGCACAGAATATCGCAGATTTTATCGCCCAAAAGCAATTTATTCAAACAGTGTAGGTTGACAGAAAGGAAATGGAGGTCCATGTGAGTTATAAACCAGGCTAACAAAATGTGTGCTGAGCTGGAATGCAGGACAAATAACAAAACCTGCCAAACCCAGTTCTATTTCAAAATATATTACACAATGGAAGACTATTAATAACCACGAAAAACAAAAATCTATGAAATAGGTTGTTGCTTAAAGTGACATTAAACCCTCAGATTTTTTTTAACATAAACAAATACTGTAATGTGTGCCTTACTGTAATCCATGGTTGTTTCCCTTCTCTTTGCTGCTCTTCCTTTTAAATCCTCATGTCTTCTCATGCTTGGGGAGAACTTCCCTTTGCAGCTGAGTGCCTCTTCCTGTAGTGCTGGCTCAGGTTGCAAACCTATACACAGACACCATATATCCATTCCTGAGACAAGGCAGTCTGCTGCAAAACAGAAGTTCTGCCCAGCATGAGAAGAGATACAGATTTAAAAAGGAAGAGCAGCAAAGAGAAGGGAAACAACCATGGATTACAGTAAGGCACACATTACAGTATTGGTTTATGTTAAAAAAAATCTGAGGGTTTAATGTCACTTTAACTAGAGCAAAAAAAAAATCAGTTATATCTATCGGTTCAAATTTATTATGAACAATGCTAAAGAATAAAAAAAAAATACAAAGCAAAATCAACCCAAAAATTATAACGATATCTGCAAAACTGAATACTGCTTTTTTTCCTGGTTATTCAGAAGTATAACCAGGAAGCCAGTGATACATATTCCAAATAAGCTCTAGTGTTCCATTACTTGTTTTACTATAGTTGACATACACAAATAAACATGTCTATTTAGATAAGAAAAAGACCCTGCAAGCTAGCAAATATGTTTCCCAAAAAGGAGAAAGCTGCTGCAGACTAAAATAGAATGATATCTGGTCTCCTGAGGAAAGATCAAGGAGCACATCTGGAAGCAATTTATGAAATGGAAAGAAGCACATTGTAGATGTATTCAGTTACATGGCCGGAAGTTTACCCAAGCTTTTCAGCGGTGCAATGTGTGACCATAGCTTATCAGGCTGTACATTGAGAGTACGCCTCTATATGCTTACTATAAATCTGCTGCAGGTTTTTGATAATAGAGGAGGAGGTGCTACACAGGCGGATAAGGATAAACTTTCCATTAATCTATGTAAAGAGCATTTATTCAAGTGTCAGTCCAACCAAAAGTAATAC